ATACAATGAAAACCTCCACCAAGGCCAAATGATCCTGACAATCTGACTCCCTTGATTGAAAATTGTTCCACTATGGTCCTGAAAGTGGCGGCAACATGCACCAAAAAATGCCATCGACGCCTTTATCTGTGCTAAAATGTGACATTGTTGAATGGAATTTTTCCGAGGCCTTATTGTGTGATTTATTATTTATTGATTCTTAAAATGTAACCAAGACAATAATTTATGGTTTGTGAAATGTTGTGTTGAAACTTTCGGGGATTCAGAGTGTCAGATTTTCTTCTTTGGCCACAGCAAGAACTCGATTGACAAATGACGTAATGCTGCCGAGGCAAAGCAGCAAATCAATAATCATTGCGGCCTCTCTAGCAGGCGCTAATTTAAACCATTGGTCTTTAAAATTTCATGGATTAGCGTTCATCTCCTGAAGTATCCTATTCATTTTTTTTCAAAAAAAAATTGACTAGGGAACATGTGATGGATTTTTTTTTATACATTTCAATAAAAAAATGCCAATTATTATTGCCACTTCCATTTTGAACAATTTGTATTAAAATTGTTAAAATATGATGTAAGAAATCTGTTGGTTTGGAATAATTGCCAACACAAAATGGTCACACAAGCAATTGATGTAAATTTCCACCATTTTGTGTCTTACTGCTTCGCACATTCACACATTGGTCTTATCCATTCAGTCACAGCCTTATTCCAAAATGAAATACATTTTCTCCTCAAAACTCTTGACACAACACACCCCATAGTCAGAATGTACTTTGTTTCCCTCAATGCTCTAGATTTGTAAGAAATACGACTAAAAACAAGACAAAATGTGGACTAAGTAAATACTTTTTTGTATGCACAGTGTGTCAGAGGCAGAACCTGTAATTTGGAATACAAATCAAATTGAAGACTATGTGTCCAAGAAATATAGGTTTATTACAAATAAAAGTTCAATAAGTGTTTGAAAAAGACAGATAGCTAATTAGCTATGTCAGGTTTGGTCAAAGTTAACATGGCCAACCAAGCATTTACATTACAGGACAAAGATTCCCATAATTTACTAATAAAATTAGCATTATTTTCGCGTCATGCATTAATTGAAACAAATCAATTTTTTGATGAGTGATCTCAATAATAAGTCAATTGATTTATGTTAAATTTTCAAATATGAAATACCTCTTCTTCTTCTTCTTCTTCTCCTTTCGGCTTGTCCCTTTTCAGGGGTTGCCACAGCGAGTCATTAATTTCCATCTTTCCCTGTTCTCTGCATCCTCTACTCTGACTCCAACTACCTGCATGTCTTCCCTCACGGCATCCATGAATCTCCTCTTTGGCCTTCCTCTCTGTCTCCTACCTGGTAGCTCCATCTCTAACATTTTCCTACCAATGTATCCCCTGTCCCTCCTCTGTACATGTCCAAACCATCTCAGTCTGGCCTCTCTCACTTTTTCTCCAAACTTTCCTGTCTGAGTTGTCCCTCTGATGACCTCATTTCTGATCCTGTCCATCCTTGTCACTCCTAAGGAGAATCTCAGCATCTTTAACTCAGCCACCTCTA